CATATGCAACTATATCCTTCTTCATTCTCCTACATCAATAATGTTGCCGCAAATCTTGATACATTTTGGCGGCACCTGGATGAATAGAATAACTGAAATTGTGGGCCTCTTCCAGAATTAATTCACGAAGCCCATCCACATTAGGCACACAAATATGACCATGCATTCGTATAACTGCATCTTCCCCCACAGTGGCCTGTTTGGCATCACCATGCTGCACCGTGTCCTTAAGGATAAGTGAATGAGGATCATCATACTGTCGCTCTCTGATGCGCTCATATAAAGAAGACCTAGTAACTCTGCAAGCTAGAACCCTACTAGGCTCTGAAACATCTAACCTCACGAACTGATTAGCCAAAGTCTGGACATCTGCAGCTAACGGTCTCTCACTAACCGGAATATAAGCAAGGCTGCCCATACTCACAGCCTTTCTACTCAAAGCATAGGCCACCACATTAGCCTTTCCGGTGTGATACAAAATGGTGATATCATAGTCTTTCAATAACTCCAACCATCTTCTCTGCCTCAAATTAAGATCTTTTTGTTTGAACGGATATTGAAGGCTACGATGATCAGTAAATACCTCACACGAGACACCATAGAGGTAATGCCTCCAAATCTTCAGTGCATGAACAATGGCTGCCAATTCTAAGTCATGAACATGATAATTTCTCTCGTGAACTTTTAACTACCGTGACGCATATGCAATCACCATGCCATCTTACATCAATATTGCACCAAGCCCAACGTGAGATGCATCACAATACACCGTATAAGATCCTGAACCTGTGGGTAATACTAACACGGGCGCCGTAGTCAAAGCGGTCTTGAGCTTCTGAAAGCTCAACTCACACTCGTCTGACCATCTGAATGGGACACCTTTCTGGGTCAGTCTGGTCAATGGGCTTGCTATAGATGAAAACCCCTCCACGAACCGACGATAATAACATGCCAAACCCAGGAAACTCCGAATCTCTGTAACTGAAGTAGGTCTAGGCCAATTCTGAACAGTCTCAATCTTCTTAGGACCCACATTTATACCTTCTGCCGATACAACATGGCCCAAAAAGGCAACTGAGTCTAATCAAAATTCACATTTTGAAAATTTGGCGTATAATTGATTATTTTTCAAAGTCTGAAGCACACTCCGAAGATGCTGCTCATGCTCCTCTCGACTACTGGAGTAAATCAAGATATCATCAATGAACACAACCACAAAGGAATCCAAATAAGGCTTGAACACCCGATTCATCAAATCCATAAATGCTGCTGGGGCATTTGTCAGCCCAAATGACATCACTAGGAATTCGTATATGCCCATACCGAGTCCGAAAAGTTGTCTTAGGGATATCGGATGCCCTAATCTTCAACTGATGGTAACCAGACCTCAAATCGATCTTCGAAAATACCTTGGCACCCTGAAGCTGATCGAATAAGTCATCAATTCTTGGCAACGAATATATGTTTTTGATAGTGGCCTTATTCAACTGTCGATAATCTATACACATCCGTATAGAACCATCTTTCTTCTTTACAAATAATACTGGTGCACCCCAGGGCGAGACACTAGGTCTAATGAATCCCTGATCAAGCAAGTCTTGTAACTGCTCCTTCATTTCTTTCAACTCCGGCGGGGCCATACGGTATGGTGGGATAGAAATGGGCTGAGTGCCCGAGCTAAATCAATACAGAAGTCAATATCTCTTATACCAAGTGAGAGTTGCCATATTATTATTCTACAAGGCAGTTAATTATTGATACCTATTCAAGTCATGCCAAGATAAGCAACTGATAAAGCAAGTGACTCAATACACAACAGGCGTGTGACTTTTCTTTGAAGAGAAGATTCCAATAATATTGAAGATGATGTTGTTTGCATAGCTCAATTGAAAGAAGGATATATCGAAGGAGACATAATAAAGCAAATTTCACCACAATTCTTTTTCTAACGCATGATCTTCAACAGAATGGTAAAATAGATATTCAACAAATTCATTCATGTGATAATTTCACTGATCTGTTAACTACGGCATTGCCAATCTCAATGTTTGAGAAGTTGAAATACAAGATTGAAATGCATTATCTTCAAGAAATAAAGTGATATTTTCATCAGGGGGAGGCAAATACGCGTTGTACTCTTGTTCCCTTAGCACAGGTTTTGTCCCAATGGGTTTTCCTAGCAAGGTTTTTAACGAGGCAGCATACAATGCGTATTACATGATATGCGTACTCTTTTTCCTTCACTAGGATTTTTTCCCACAGGATTTTTTCCTAGTAAGGTTTTAACGAGGCACATTATCTTTGGACATCCAAGGGGGAGTGTTATGAAATACTTGATTATGGTGGATGTCCATAACTCCTAAGGGAGTAACACCTACTTCTCTTCTTCATTAACCTCCCACTACTTCTTACCATTATGATTGTAACTCCAACACCTCCATGATCTTCCCCTATGATCTCGATAGTTAATACCATGTTCATGGCATTCCTTTATATTACCTAAATATCATCCTATAAATAGAGGGTTTGATCATCACATTGTACACACTTGAATACATGGAAGAAATAAGAATCTATCCTCTCTTTCTCTCTACATTCTTGTCTATTTTCTTGTTTTATATTGTTGCTTTGAGCTAAGTTTCTTAACATTAACATATTAATTTAAAGAATTTCAATGATTTAACACGATATAGGCTCATGATATCAATTGTTAGAATTTAAAATTTAAAGATGAAGACCTTTTTTTTTATTAGATCTATCATGTCAAATCATCAAAAATTAAAACAAGATGATAAAACATACCTTAATTCATAAGAATGGATAAAACTCATCATCTTGGGGTTATTAGTCTTCGAAAAGAAGACGTAAGAACAGGGGCGGCCCAACCTCATCGGAGGCTTAAAACAAAATTTTAATAAGAGGCCTTAATATATATATATANAGATTGACAGAAAACTATTTTAGTTATATTAATTAGAGAAAAAATCGAGTTATTAAAAATTAATATGACAATAAAGAAATAAATTTATCAATAATAAAAGATAATTATATAAATAATATACTACTATATATAGAGAATACTAGTAATTTTGGGGCCCTTAAATTTTTGGGGCCTAAAGCAAGTGTTTCACTTGCTTTAAGATTGGGCCGCCCCTGCGTAAGAATTGCAGAGAAGCAACTCTCACTTTTCATATGATGGGATATCAGAAAATAACTTGGTTTGTGGATCGTAACCCTAATTATAGTTCAACATAATTTATGTATTTTTAATTAGTTTATTATTAAATTAAAAATTACATCCGGATATCTACATATAAGACCCTATACTTTATGAGGTATTCATTTAACTTTAAGCTTTAGTAGATCACTTTAATTTGGGCCAACCTTAAAACGATAATAACCAACACACAATTATTCTTAATACAATATATGCACACTTTCATACATTTTAACAATATGTGAAAGTATGTTTAATATAATAGAGATTAAATGACAAGCATGGCTAAGAGAATTCAAAGAGGAAGAAGGCCTTAGGGACATGGCTGAAGTTTTGAAGACTTGGAAGGGATGTGGCAGACGAAGAGTTGAAGAATTGGAAGGGCTGTGGCAGAAGAAGAGGTTGACATTGACTCTAATGACATATTATTGTAAATCACACGCTTAAAGAATAGATAATAGGAATCTTTTTGTTCATTTACATTCAATGTTACTCCATGTAGTTATAGCTAGAGTTGGAGTCGAAGAAAATGAAATTTTAAAAACTGCTCATGTTCAACTTTCAGTCTCTACAAATTTAAATATTTGAATGGGATATAGTCATGATTCAATACACAGAGCTATGATTTGAAGTTTATGGGTTTTGAATTGAGAAAATTACGTGACGTGTCCCCTAATGAGACTGGTCTTAGCTGAATGTCCTCGTAATTGGCGATATTTAATAAATGGACTCCGCTTTTTTTGCCCCTTCAACTCCTCCTTCTCCATCTCTTTTTCTTCACCAAGAACACCATAATTCTTTAATTTTGGAAGATTAAATTCTTACTTGGGATTGAAAATTCGAAGTTAATAGTTAATTACTGTTAAAATCGTTTGAGTATTAATTATTTATACTCAAAACTTTTAGTTTAAACATTGATTTAGCTATTTACTTTAATTAAAAGTCTCAAAACTTCCAATATTGATCTTTAGAAACTGTTGAAGAAATCAAAATGGCTCTTCTTGATTTCGTATTATTTTACTAAATTGGTGATTGAAAATCGTCAATATTGATATTTTGAGGCTTTATTTTAAATTTGAGATCTGGAGCAGATTTGATCGAAATTGGAATTGCAAATGCGAAGAACATTTTGCTGAACAACAAAAAAACTATATCAATCGGATAGACTTGATGAACATTTTAACAAATACGTCAATTGCATAAAACACAAAGTTACACCAATTTGGTAGAGTTTGGTGAACAATTGAACAAACACAAAATCATTCCAACAGGGTAGAGTTTTTAAATAATTAACAATATAGATAGAGTAAATATAGCATATACTCTACCAATCCGGTAGAGAAATCCCTGAAGAGTTGTACGGTCCGGAGGTCATTTTTAAATACATTCAAAAAGGAGAACAATATTTAAAGACCGGCTCGTTATAGGGTCATTCCTGTCAATCACCCTTCTGAACTTGTCACCGAACTCTTAGCTCGTCTTAATTAATTGGTTTAAAATTATGCATTTATACATATGTAATGCGTTTCTTAATACAAATTCAGGATCTAAGCAAAGCGATTGAATTCGTTCGTTCCACACTTAATACTCTAGCTCCGCCCCGTTTACAGTACATTAGCATTTGAGTATTCTAGATATAGAATAACTTTAAGAGATAGATGCAGAGGGAATCTATTAGGAGTCCTAATTACTCAAGACTTCATTGAACTCCTGGAAGCTGTAGTTACTCCAATATGACCACTATTATAGTCATGACACTATCTTTAGTTTATGGAATTTCTGCTAAAGAAATCCTGCGGGAACCTGTTGATGTCTTGGATTACCGCAGGTCAAAATTTGTAATAAAGTGAGTGATTTCTGATGTAAAAAATATTAAGTAGTCGGTAAAGCAATCACAAAAATCATGTTGCTTTCTGGAGTGTAAGAATTTGTGCATAAATTTGGTCTTTCTTTTGGTTTATTCTATTTAAACGCTTCTCGATAGATCTAATGTCTTTTGTAATGACTTGCATTTTCTGTTTAAGCCTCTCCACATTGGCATTGGAGGTCATTTTGATGGGATGTGTTTGATTGAAGAGAACCTGCAAAAGATCACGGAAGCCAAGATATTAAAGTCAATTAGCTAAACTAATAGTAAGACATCTTTCGTTAGTTATTCGTTATTTTCCTGAGATGTTCATGCTTTTTGAATTTTCGTTCCTCTCTTTCAATTAATGATGCCTTTGCTACAACGTCAAAAACGTAAATCTCTATCCACAAAGAGATGTATATGCTGGGAACTTAATAAATTAGATATTAACACACATTACAAATTAGGGATCAATTAATTAGAGTAAAGTACTATTTGTTCAACTCGGATATGGGGCACAATACGAATTTAATTTAAAAGCTTTGTTGGGTTGGGGCAGAGCCAGACTATATTCCTCTTCGAAAATATATAGCGAGATGGCTTGAGAAAAAACGCATGCAAAAATAAAATTTCAAAATTCCATGGACATGCAGAAGACAAATGCATATTTAAATTTGATAATTTTCACGCTGTTCCCAATTATATGTATTTGTAAAGTTTCCCGTACCTTATTGTGAACCAATTTGGTCTCTTTAGCACTTTCAACGTCTTCTCTTGTATCTATTGCTGCAGTTATCTCCCGAAAAATCTTCTTCTCATCAGCTAAAGAGTTACACCCGTGTCTTATCTTGCAACACAAAGTCTTAATCTGTAATTACAAAAGGTAAATGGTTAGTCTCAACATAATAATCTGCAGATTTAGGACGTCGGTAGTTTAATTTGGACAACTTAGCGTTCCTAATACAAACACGGATGCGTTTCGGGCACCTCTCACCCAAGTCCTTGCCATAAGAAGCAAAAGGAGATTAATCTTGGGAAAGTGTCTTACCGATAGAGGCTCATTAAGCTTTGCTTCACATGTACTGTAGACACCTAAGAAAGTCTGTTCTGTATATTCAAATTTTCGTCGTCTTGACTCATAAGAATATGCGTACGGTAGTAGGCTTCTTATGTTTTCAGATAATTTGTCTCTGTCAAGCTGCATATAGAGTGAAGACCATACCAAAATGCAAAAAAGTCGGTCAAAACAATGTAGAATAACGCAAGTTATAGTAACAAAAATGAATAATAATAATAATATTTTTTATGGAAATAGCTCCAATAGTATTGATTATGGTTAGAGATTTTTACTTATCTATACTAATTTTGAAATTTATTTACCTTCACTATTGAGGTTTTAACTTAATTATAAGTCAATATACAAATTATCAATTTTATACAAAATAATGTATTAGACTCTAATATTCCATATTTTCTCTCCCTCTTCCACCCCAAAACTAAACTTATAAATTAATAGAAGAATGTTTGTCCTCTTTCTTGTCAACTTCAGCTATACCTTTATGTGAACAAAGAGATTTGGCATCAAACAATTCTATTATGTTTTCTCTTTCTTTTTATTTTCTATTTTGTTTTTGCTATGTTAAACAATAAACGAATTATCACTTTTGAACGAGGGAAGATCGTTAAATTCTTTTAGCTTTTTGGAATCAATAAACAAAATAGTATTAATTATAAGCGAGTAGATTGAATTGAAAACTATGTTAATCTATTAGAAAGCTTAAAAGCTTTGAATTCGAAAATTAAAATTTACAAAATTATTTTTTGTTTGGATTGGGTGTTGTTGCAAATGATTGAGAATATCATTTGGAGTTTATATCTTAATTTTGAGAGAATATGGTGAAGATTCGAGGTGGTTTTGGTTGAAATTTCATATTAAAACTCGAAAAAGAAAACATAAACAAATTGTATAGATTTTGTATGCCGAGTATACAAAATATCTATAATTATATAATTGTATACAACTTGTATATAAATTATATGTAAATTATTGTTTATGAACGGATTCTGTACAAAACAATGTGTATTTAAGTTGTAGATAAATCGTAGATTTTGACCGAATATGTATATATTTTGTAAAACACTTTAGTTATTTTCTGTAAATATGAAAACTTAGACAAAATCGGGTAAATAAGTTTAAAATCTCGTGTATAGGGAAAACATCTTGAATCATAGAACATGATATAGTTTAAATTTGCTAAATATGAACCACAAAGTTAAGAACATGAAGGAGAGAGGGAGTACCGAGTAGGATTTTATAATATATTAAAAAACTCACTATTTACCGATAATATATGTCAATTAATCTCTCGAACAACAATTCAGAAATATTTGCTCAAAGTTTGAGTATAGATCTAGAAGAATTTAAATTCAATAAAGATACAGGATTTTATTCAATAATAGACTTAGCAGTACATTTTATTTACCTAGAAAAAAAATTAAAAAAAATTGCTTCGATTTACATAAAAAAAAACAACTTTATTTAATAAGATTATTATTATCATATCATTTAAGAAGAATATAATTTTAGTACTAAAATTATTTAAACTTTATTTCAGACTTTATATTATATTATTTTATTTTGTTTTTCTAAAATAATTTAGATTTTCTTTTATATTATTATTATTTTATTTTATTTTTCTAAAATTATTTAGACTTTATTTTATATTATTATTATTAATTTATTATTAAAGACCAAGACCCAATTCTAGATATAAGCCCAATACACTATGAATGCTCAACGTAGGTGAAAAAAGCATGGGCTAGCCAGTTTTTCAGATCGGTAATAAAAAAATAGCCAGTGTTTGTAAAGTTATTGAAAAATAGCTACTATTTTAGCTAAAACACGGAAAGTTCCAGCATAATATGCTGGATTTTGAAGCTCTTGCGTATAAACTTCCAGTATATATTATGCTGGAACTCCAACACATTATGAAATTCCAGCACCTTATATTGGAGTCTCATATGTAAGAAATTCAAATTCCAACATATATGCTGGAATTTTTCCGAATTTTTAATGGCGTTTTTGTTCAAATTTTTATCTTTACATGAAAAAAGGGATAAATTTGAATTACTTTTAAAACTGTAGCTAATTTTTAATTATCAATTGTAAATCAGGTTATTTTTGATTTTTCCCTCAACGTAGTGTAGTTAGCTAATTAGTAGATGTAGCCCAATTTTGTAATTTGCACTTTTTCAATTTTCATTGATTTATTTCCCATAAGTATAAAAGGGGGAACACTTGTACATTTTAAGCAACCAATTCATTTTAATAAAAAAAATCAGATCTTTTTTTTTATCCTTTTTTTTTTGTTAAACCTAAAAATGCTTTATTTTCTTTGAGTTTTTCTCGTATTTGATATAGTATCAGAGTCAGACTCATTTCAATTCTTGATTTATTCAATATTAAGCTTCCATGTTATATTATTCACGCTCTAGTTAGCATGCCTGAGTGTGTGTTTTGGGGGTGAAGGAGGTATTGAGTTTATCCCATATCAATTGCGGGATAAGAATTTAATCTTCTTATATGATTTCAAACAATCCTTACATCGTGAGCTAACTCTAAGGACCCGTTTGGTCATGAGTTTTGCCAAAATAAATTTGGAATTTATTTAGCAAACACATATTTGGCCATAGATTTTGCCTACATTTTGGCAAGATCCCAAATCCCAAAATCACCTCAATTGCTGATTTTGGGCCAAAACATGACCATTATATTTTTTAAAATTTTTAAATATTATCCCAAACTTTTATAGTTTGTAAAAGAGCCCACATTTAAATAATCACCTCAATTTCTGCTCTTGTTCATGCTTCTTTCTTTGTATCTGCTCTCGAAAGAAACTGAGATTGATATCTACTCTGAGGAAGCTGTGACTACCCACTTGCAATTTGTCTTGCAAAAACATGGTTTAGCTGACGAAAAATTTTCACCAGCAGTGCCTTTCTTGCTTAACCCCAGCTTTCGCAAGATATTCGTTCATATGACCGAAAAAAATCAAGTCGAATAGTTTAACGACTTAAAGAAAAATTGAGCTAACTGTTATTTTCATTTTTTTATGTTGTACTCTAATGCATGAAACGCTGATACTAATTATTTTAGTTGTACGTCGTGGTGTAGGCATGATTGTAATCTGAGTAATGACTTCCTATGTGTAATATGAGTAATGACTTCCTATGTGTAATCTGAGTAATGAAGGTTATGTATATACAAGATAGCAAGTTTGTTTGTTTGGTACTATTGAGTATTTGTGATAATTTTTGAAACTTGTGGGTATAAGTCATGTTTCATATTTTTTCAAATAAAAAGTGAAATATGTTTTGAAAAATCATGTCCTAACACATTTTCATCTTCAAATCAAACTTCACCCAAATCAAAATTTTTAAAACAAATTTGAGAATCTATGGCCAAACGCTAGCTAAGAGTTAATTAGGACCAATATCTATTTCTTATAAGTGAATCATCAATATGTATAAGTTAGACAACAAAAGAGAAGAGCAAAGGACAAAAATGCTCTAGTAGAACAAAATAATGACTCAGGCCTACCCCTAATTGCCTATTTCCCCGGATTACTCCTAAAAACTAAGAAACATAAAAGAAATATCTAAAAAGATAAAAAAGGATGATGCACAGTTTTCAATGCACATCAGTTGAAAGTAAAAAAGTAGACATTCCTACGAGCCGAGTTGTCACCGTCATCACATTATGCTCCATTTCCCTTTCGTTTTTTTTTTGCTTGATTCTTATATTTTGTTTTTTCTTTCTTCTTTTTCATTTGATTTAATAGTGTAACGACTCGGTCGGTCGTTTTGTGTATTGTAGTCACATTCCCCTATTTATCACCTCTTCTATGTTCATTTGTGGTTTGTGACTTGCCGGGGTGGTTGGTTTGGTTTTGGGGATGTTTCGGAGCGAATTGGGACAATTATTTCCAAGGTTAGAAGTTAAGTTGGAAGAGTTGACCAGAATTTGACTTTTGTGTAAACGACTCCGAAACAAAATTTTGATGATTCTGATAGTTTTGTATTGTGATTTTGGAATCAGGCGTATGCCCGGATTTGAATTTGGAGGTCTATAGGTTAGTTTGATACTTTTTGGCTAAACTTAGAAAGCTGGAGGTTTGGAAAGTTGAGAGGTTTGACTGAGAGTTGACTTTATCGATATCAGATTTGGATTTAGGTTTCGAAAGTTGGAATAGGTTAGTATAATTTCTTTGAGTATGTTAAATGATATGTCCAATATTCTTGGTATACTATAAAGTATACCACGATTAATGTTGAATTATGGTATATTTTATTTACAACAACAACACAACAACATACCCAGTCTTATTCCACACTGTGAAGTCTGGGGAGGGTAGTGTGTACGCAGACCTTACCCCTACCTTGTGAGGATAGAGAGGCTGTTTTCAATAGACCCTCGGCTCAGGAAAGCATAAGCACCACATTAATGAAAATATAGACAAGGAGGGATAGTACCAAAAAATCATATAAAAACAGAATAAAAACAACAAAATAGTAAGGTGATCAACAATGAAAGAAAATAACGGTTAGTCATAAAAACCTACTATTAACAGAAAGTGAGACTACGTGCCAATACTACTGTTATGAACACTCTAAACTATCTACTCTACTACCCTAATCCTCGGCTTTCATACCTTCCTATCAAGGGTCATGTCCTCGGTCAGCTGAAGTTGCGTCATGTCTTGCCTAATCACCTCTCACCACCTCTTCTTTGGCCTACCTCTACCTCTCTGTATGCCCTCCATTGTCAACCTCTCATACCTCCACCGGAGCATCTGTGCTCCTCCTCCTCACATGACCAAACCACCTAAGTTGTGCTTCCCGCATCTTGTCCTCAATATGGGTCACACCCACCTTGTCGCAAATTAAGGATGTCCAATGGGACGGGCCATCCCGTCCCGTCCCGGTCCCGTCCCGTCCCGTCCCAGCCCACTTAAATCTAAACAGGATGGGCCCATGTTAAACGGTACACGGGATGGGATGAGATACCTATTTCGTCTCGTTTATCCCATCCCGTCCCGTCCCGTTTGTCCCGTCTTCCCGCGTATTTTTTTAATTAAGTTTTAAATCAAGTGATCAACTAAGTTTCAAATATTTGGGCAAATTTTTGGAGCAACTTTCAAGCTTCAAATTAATTCGTCAAGTATTTGGTGCAATTATTTGGAAAATTTCTTCAAGTTTTAATATTTAATCACGGTGCACTCGTTCCATCTCCTAATTTCAATATATAATTTTTGCGTATCATTTTAGTGCTTAATTTTTTTATTTACTTTACGTGTTCTATTTATGTATTTCATTTGTGTGTTTAATTTTTGTATTAACTTTTTTAATTTAATTTCGTATTTAAATTATGGCACCTAAAAATGTATTTGGCCTATTTAAAAAAAGTAGTAAAAAAAGTAGTAAAGGTGATATTAGTAGTAATCCTAATCCTAGTTCTAATCCTAATCTTTCTCCTAGAATTAGAAAACATATAGATGAAATGACTCATGTTGATGAAACTTTATTTTTTCAACCCCCCGCATGTTATAATATTAATTTCGAAAAATAACTAGATCATGAAACTTTACAAAGACAATTTGGCAATGATATTTTTATTGAAGACGAAGAAAATGAGGATGAAGAAAATGAGGAAGAAGAATTAGATAAAACACCCACTAGTCCCGCAACACAAGCTCCAACTCAAAGTCAATCTTGGTCTGGAGCTATACCTCCTGTACCTCCTATAATGGGTAAGCCTAAGGGTGAACGTGCCAAAAGCCCAAAATATCACTTGTATGAAAATTTTTTAAGTCATTACAAGTCTTTTGTTTTAATATTTTATAAATCTTTACTTAGTTTCCTAATTTTTTTATAACTTATTAAGTTTTAAGTTTATTAAATAAGTCAAAAAACTAGCCGTTGTAAACTTTAAAAACTTAGTCATTGTCAAAAAACTAGCTTTTTGCCAAACTTAACGCTTAAATAATTAATTTTATTTTTAAAACAGCCCACTTAAGGCCCGTGAAACCGTCCCGTCCTATCCCGTTTGTTAGCGAGATGGGATGGGCCTACCATTTCATCCTGTTTATCCTGTCCCGTTTAGGCCTATCCCGCCACCGTTCCGGCTAAATGTCGTCCCGTCCCGTTGGACGGCCATATCGCAAATAACCTAATTTATGATCCTATCTAACCTGGTGTGCCCGCACATGCATCTCAACATCCTCATCTCTGCTACCTTCATCTTCTGGACATGAGCGATCTTGACTGGCCAACACTCAAACAAAGTATACCATGATTCAACACTAATTATTGTATACTTTATTTGAGTATATTAAATAGTTTATTTGGTATATTCCACATTGATATAACATAATTAGTGTTAAATCATGATATACTCTATTTGAATATGTTAAATGGTATATCTAATATTCTTGATATACTGTACAGTGGTATACTATGATCAATGTTGAATCATGGTATACTTTGTTTGAGTATGTTATTTAGTATACCCAATATTCTTGGTATACTATATGTCGGTATACCATGATTATTGTTGAATAATGGTATACTTTGTTTGAGTATGTTAAATGATATACCTAATATTCTTGGTATACCATACATTGATATACCATAATTACTATTGAATAATGATATTCTCATATTCTTGGTATACTATGCATTGGTATACCATACTTAGTATTGAATCATGGTATACTTTGTTTGAGTATGTTAAATGATATACCTAATATTCTTGGTATACCATACATTGATATACCATAATTACTATTGAATAATGATATTCTCATATTCTTGGTATACTATGCATTGGTATACCATACTTAGTATTGAATCATGGTATACTTTGTTTGAGTATGTTAAACGGTATACCTAATATTATTGGTATACTACATATTGTTATACTATAATTACAGTTGAATCATAGTATTCTTATATTTTTTGTATACTACATAGTGGTATACCATGATTATTGTAGTATATCAAACTTTAGGATTCGCCGATTTAACTATAAAGAACAAAGAAATGTGAAGAGTGAAAATTCTTTATTATAGAAAAAACCCATTTTTTCTTAGAAAATGGAAAAACATCATCTATACAAATAAAATAAAAAATCAAATAATAAAAAAAGTGATACGGTAACTCTCGGTAATGATAATGACTAATTATGAAGAAAGTGTCACAATACTAATTTACATCATGCTTTAGTTGTACTGTCATATTTGTTATGCATATTAATTATCTTGAATAGAGCTGAGACTAGAGATTGTAAAATTGAAAACTTCCAATTTAGAATTCTTATTTCGGGGAAGAATTGATGAATATTTAATATCTCTTAAAAATGCATGTTCTCTCGCGTCGCAAGTACTTCTCCGAGCGAGGTAAACTTCTCTATTCTCATGGGAGCGGGTCGTTCGCCTCGGCAGTATAATATATGCATCTATGGTTTGTGCCGTTCGACCCTCGGCAGTGCACACTGTATATTTTTGGATCGGGCCGTACGACCACGGCATAAATCGTGCGTGATAATACTCGGAGCCTTACACTTGATATTACTTTTTGGCTCGGGAGGTTATAATTCATTTAATGACAAAAATTGATTTGGGGTTAGTAGATGTTGGCTAGAAATTTTGGAATTTATTATCAGTTAATGAGTCATTTATTGACTACTTGACATTGTGTTATTATTATTATTATTATTATTATTATTATTATTTCCATGTCCCATACATGTTTAGAATTTCTGTATTTTATTGGTGGCCTATAGTAAGTGTCGATGTCGACCCCTCGTCATACTTGTTCGAGGTTAGACTGGATACTTACTGGGCACATGTTGTTTATGTACTCACACTACACTTCTGCACTAATCATGCAGGATCTGAGCCAGGTGCATCTGGCAGTCATCCCGACGCGCACCCCTGATACTCCGAGACTTAGTGGTGAGCTGCTTTCCGAGTCCTTTCTGCAGCAACCGGAGTCTCTCTTTTGCATTTACTTTCTGTCTACTCTATTTTCAGACAATAGTTTAGTGTTTTGTATATTGTACTAGTAGCTCATACACTTGTGACACCAGGTCTTGAAATTATGCTAGTAGACATTCGATGGCTTTTGAGTAATTATTTCATCACACTTGTTCTTATATTAGTTTCAACTTTATTTTATTAAATTATTTTCACCTCTTACTTACTTAATAAATAAAAACTAACTATTTCGAAGTTGTTAAACAGAACAAATACATGGCTAATTCACCGTTGGCTTGCCTAGCGGCGACGTTGGGCGCCA